TGAGTTAAATTTGATGCCACAGACTAGGACATTAAATAGGGCAAAACAATGTCTGTTTCTGTGGGAAACACCGGCTACTTTATGGGACTTAATTTGCTTTTGCCTTATTTCAAAGCATTGGTAAAAATTAGTCACAAAGATTAACCTGAGGCTTGGCTAAGTTACTGGCAATTGTTAAGAAGGATAAAATTAGCCAACATTTCTTAATCTGTACATACTTCTTTTCTTCTAGGAGTGAAGAAGAGCTTATTTAAGTCTTGCCATGTTGCAACACTACCTTCCATATGGGTAGGCATTAAGTCATGAAAATCTTAATGCATTAATATTAACGTTTTACTGCATTAATATGAATATTTCTGCTGCATATTACAGGCAAATGAACTCAGTAGACAGTTTTAGGTGTTATTTCTGATAACACATCTCATGGATTATGTAATCTATAAAAATCCAACCTTTGAATAATGATCATTTACTGATTATTATACTCTGATGGACCATTCCATAATGATGGGGAGGGAGGAGATGGAAGGAAGGAGAAAGGAAGGAAGGAAGGAAGGAAGGAAGGAAAGAAGGAACTGCTGTCATGAACACACCTAGTTCTCAGAACTTAGTTTCTAAATGCTAACATCCTCCAAAAGGAAATCAGCTCTTTGGTCCACTGTGTGGCTGGGCACAGTGAATGTGTAAGATGAGCCCGGAGCATCTTCATGTGCAAGATAATAAGAAAACAGCAACTGATGAAGAAACGTCAAAAATACAAAGGGGCCAATTCGAAGGGACTCGCACTGGCCAAATCTGGAAAAATAGAAGCATAAGCAACAATGTGCTCACAAGAAAGAAAAAAATTAAATTCAAGAAGGGGGTGGAGAGTTGGAGGTTCCTACCCTGCAGGAATGATGTGTGGGTATACGGCACACTTTCTGGGTGAAGGGCAGAACTCCAACCCAGACTTTACCTTACAAGTGCAAACAGTATGTACCTATTTGTATGTACCCTCATGTTAATCTGAAATTTAAAAAAAGAAAAATGTAAACATTAAAATTAAAAATGATAACAATATATTACAACTCCTTAAAACATAAGAATCCATGAGTTCACATGAGTGTGTGTGCGTGTTTGGGGTGCAGGTGAAGCATTTCTTTGAAGCTGGATGCCAACTAATAAATGTAGGAGGAATAAAATAATGATAAAGTATAGCAGATAAATACATAATGGCCCAGTAACACAGTCATTCACTATCAAGTATTAAGTACTGCATGTACTTATAGGAGCTACACTTCCAACCGGGACCACAAACACATGAGTACTGCATGGTGCCGTGACTCTCACGATAACCACGCCACTGGTGATGAGGAATTTTCAGCTCCATTATGGGAGCTGCATGGGACTACTGCCCTGTAGATGGTCTATTTGTGACTAAAATACGATGTGTCACTGTATAATAAGGGTTGTTAAGGAGTGAACAGATTTCAATGTCTCTTCAGGTTTACAGCCTGCCCTTGGTCTTTCCTGCACTAACGTAAGAGGTCTACAGTAGTTGTACGTGTTGGAGGCAGCCCCTCTCTTCCACACTCTCATCCATATACTCAGTTTATGGAACCAATGGCAAAAACAGTCTCTTAACTCACCTAAGGTCTTAATGACCCTTCTATGAAGTGTAATCAGACTTTACAGGTACATTGCACCATCTGATCATGTTACTTTGCCTTTTTATTAGAAAATCTCCAACTCCTCTCCAATGGCATCCTTGGGAATAAGTTTGTTACCAGTAGATTCCCAATGTGCTGGGTTGGTTTTACCAGATTCACTTGGGTGAGTTGTGAGAAGGGCATCAGGAGGCAGCACCTCCGTGCTCCATCCTGGCCCAGGTCACTCTGACAGCCATACTCAGAAAACGGTGATCTCCTTCCTGTTAGACCAAAAAGCTCTTCCCAATTGGGCTTCGGTCAGATTGACTCATCTCATATCATGTGCTGGATTTCTGCTTTTCTGGAATATTTTCAATCACTGAATGTAACATACATTTTAGTGCCTCGACTCCATTATACATCCTCAGCCTTCAAGAGCTTTTTTTTGGATTTTTTTCAAGTTGACATGTATCTTGTTCTTTAGGACCTAAACAATATCTTCTCCTTGAATTGGACTTCTAGTACTCCTTTACCTATAATCAATTATTTCCATGTCTTGGTTCCTGTGACAGTATGTATCACAGCGGTGACACATAGATATTGATAGCTATATGCCCCTCAGGGAATTTGTAGAACTATGTACTTAACTTTATGAATTTAGTTTGCATGATGAGTGTGAATCGCAACCAAGGATATAGTATCTAGCATTTTGGATATTATAATTGCCAACATTAAAATGTCAACTATTATTTAATATAGATTTATGCCATCACTTTTTAAAACATATCCAAAATAACCCCAATACTCGTCTTAGGTCAGGTTATTGCAGAAGAAATCATTTGAATGCAGGTGATTTATTAAGCTGCTGCTTTCCAGAGAAATAGGTAAGGAAGTGGAGACAGAGGCATAGGACTTCAGGCAAAGTCCCCGTGTCAGCCTGGTCCTGCTGGGAGCTCAGATGGCAACAGCACATCCATGTTTATCGAATTCTGGGCAACAGAGTCATCTTTTTTAGCTCTGTACTTGTCATCGTTGGCTATGAGACAGTGAATGTGTGTATGTATGATGGCACTGGGGGTATAGGAAAGAGACTTCCAGGCTTCTCCTATGATCCTTTAGGGTGAAAAAGCTCCAGTGATTTGAAGTAAAAGCAGCTAATAAAATCACAAGCCGGTGGAGCACAGCATTGTAGTAAGGGATCACTGGTTATCTGGATGGGTTGCAAATTAGGTCAATATTATCCTACCAATTTAAAAGATACATTAGACTTCTCATTCTGGGAAGAGGGAATAGACTTATTTTTCCCAATTCCTTCCATTAAATGCCATTAAAACTCTGAACATTATATATAAAACAAATGTAAGATAGCTCTGAAAGGTAGACAGAGGAAAATCAACCAGATAGTAAACCTGGGATCTGAAGAACGCCACAGTGGCAAAACCAAACTGGGCACCAGGAAAGTCAGCAACCCAAGGGCCAATGAGCTTAGACAAGAAAATGCCCCAACAAAACCTGCTCTCTCTAGCCAAAGAATCGGGAGAAGTCTAACAATAGAGCAAACCTTTATAAAGTAACAGCTCTGCTGCCAGGGTACAGCAGTTGGCCCAAGCTGAGAAGACAAGTCAGGACAGGCAAGTTGGGAATCACCATCTGATAGGTTAAATATGGAATAGATGATGGCTGGGTGAAAACAGCAATGCAAAATGACCGCCAAAGACACAAGTATTGGAATGTCTCTGGAGTTGGTACCCTTTGGTTTATAATTAGAACAGTGTAGGAGCTTTTAAAAGCTCATTGGAGATCCTTGAGTGCTTCCTGTATTTTTTCAAAGTTTTGCAGGTAATTTTAAGGTGTAATAAATGTTGAAAACTGGAGGGAAAAAGAACCAAGAAGGATTTGCCATAAAAAAAGGAGGGAAGTGATTCAGAAGACAGCATTCAGAAGCCAAGTGGCAGATTCATGGACGTGGGAGTTGCCAACAGCACCAGATCCCTGTAGGGTAGTACAGAGATGAAGGACTCCAAGGAGGTTCTTCCTCGAAATTGAAACAAAGTCTGTGAAGACCGTTTGAAGTCTTCCTAAATGTTGTGGGATACTAAAATAAATGAAGTCAGTAATGATCAGTATCTTACTCTACAGGTCAGTAAGAGAGAAGTTCAGGGCAATGATAGGAAAATGAGTAAAGGGAAAAACCTTCCAGTAAATGTAGAACAGCCTGGACACCATCCCTGAAGATTTTATGCAGAGGACAACAGATGCCTATGAAGTCCACCTATTTTAAAAATGATAGCATAAAATGCTGCCTCAGAAGGCAAGCATCTCAGGTGCAGATAAAGATTATTTACTTAAGACTCAGATCAATGATAAAAATGTCAGGAAATGCCCAAATCCCAATGCCCAACATCCCAATCTGAATGTTCACTAAAAGTAATTCTTATTTCACATTCTCATATTTTTAGCTTATAAGACTCACTGGTAATTTCACCTTAGGTAAACAATTTTTATGATTTGGTGCATTGTGAAATACAGTATGAAATCATCCTCATTTTATAATGGAAATATTAACATACATGCATAATGGTCTTAGTAAACGCTTTCACGTTTTGAACTTGACACAGTCAACACTCCCTTTGTACAGATCAGGCATACGTGAGAATTGCTATTATGCGGGAGAAAGGAAAGCCCCTGGAAATCAGCCCGTCTGCTCAAGGACCTCCAGCTTCTGTGAGGCAGTCAGACAGAACTCAGACCCCAGACTTCTGATCCTTGCAATTTTCCATAGCATATTTGTTGTATCAGGCTGCCTGTGTATTAAATCATGTCTTTTTTAAGAAAGGGTTTTCATTATGTTGCCCAGGCTGGATTTGAAGTGCTGGGCTCAAGCAATCATTGGCCTCAGCCTCCCAAGGAGCTGCGCCCACCATCACGCCCTTAGTTATCATCTCTGCTCAGGCTTCGTAAACCCTATGCCCACGTGCTTCGTAAGGAGTGTGCCGGTGGCAAGAGGGTTCAGGTATTTCGTCCTGAACAAAAAGGGTATCAGTTATTTTAAATACAAAGTCAAAAGCGGAAAAAACTTGTCGTTAGACTCCAGGCCAACAGAAGCGAAGCCTGACTCCCTAAAAACGGGTGGTTTCAAAGTTAAAAATAAGAAAAATGTTACAGAGATTTTTACTTACATATCCTTGATGTTAAAGGTTTCTTCACAGGGTATGATGCTTAATTTTCTTGTTTTGCAGAAGAAATTGAAACAAAGAAAGAAAGAGGGCTTAAAAAATAATAATTTTAGTTTTCCAATGAATATGTAACTTAAAAAAGAAGTATTTAATGAACAAATATTATACAAATCCATTTTAAAAAGCCATCTGCATTTATAAGATAGATTTCTCTAACATGTACAGAAATTTTGCTTATCTGAATAGCTAATACACGTAACAAACTAAAATACTCTTATGAAGAGCAGGGTTATAAAACCTATCAAGACCCTTCAGAGCCAAATGTTCGCGTCTTCAGGGAAGGTGCTCACGTCGTCGATTCCTGGATGGTCGCCACCATTTTCAAGTTCTTCAGCATTTTCTTCCCCAGTACCTTTGCCATCTGCTTTTTCCGGGTTTCTTTTTTTCTTATGAGTATATGACGGGTGACTTTTCTCCTTGATCTGGGGGTGTGAGTTACTCAGAGCTGCCCTTTCCAAAGCACGCTGTAGGCAGTTGTAAAATCTAGAAAGAAACAAGAACTACTGTTACACCTGTGTGTCCCCAAACTGAGTGACTCAAATGCACCCCGACCTTAACCATTATGGAAGTTTGACAGTGTCTCTTATTATCCTTATAAATATGAAATATATCTAAGAAATGGCATGTCTCTCGCCTTCATCATCATTTACTTAGGAGTTTTTAGTTCTTTAAGAACCATCCTGAAAATCGGGGTGGAATTACCTCTTGACAACCTCTACCTACCTCAATTTCCATCCCAGATGTAGGAGTTAAATAAGAGGGTAAAAAAATAATGAAAATGGTTTCTTTATAAAAATATCATAAATGTAAGAGAGGCCCAAATTTTAGAGAATTTGGAAAACATGAAATTATAAATATAGATCCCTCCAAATAACTACCTAGAGAACGACTGTCGATGTTCTTACTGCTTCCCAGTGTGTTAACGTGGTCTGAGTGAATACATTTACAGACGCACACATACACAGACTGCTTTCTTACACAATTAGAATATTACATGCTTTACATTTTTTCACGTTTAATATTTATTGAAAATATTCCCTGTATCAAATGAACTACAAAATAACGCTTTTTAATAATATAACACTATGTCATCTAGATTGCCCTTTACTTATTTTAAAATTTTCACTAATAAAAATGTGATAAACATTTTTGAAAATGTGATCTTTCTAGCCATTTCTTTAGAACAGACACCTAGAAATGTAAATATATGGTTAAAGGGTATATACATTTTATGGCTCTTGATAAATACTGCCGATTTTCCAGAATGGATGTTTTAAAAAGAACCATGCTTCCAACTGGAGCACTGGAAAGAGACCACTTCACCGCCCTGAATATTCCACCAACACACACACTACACTTCGATAGGTGGAAATGGTATCCCATTAGTTTAATTTTCATTTCTTTGCAAGTGAAATGGAATTTTTTCATTTGATTATCAGCTCTTTGAAATTTTCTAAAATGTAAGTTGTTCTTTCCCGTTATTCACTTTTTTACTGCAGTTTTCATGTTAATTTTGTGGTATGATAAACTGTAAGCTCTGTAAACATTGGGCTTCATTTCCTTCCTACACCTGTGTTAACACCTAACACAATACTTTATTATCAACAACGCATCGATATATTCAGCCCTTTTATTCTATATTTTATTTAACATTTTTTACTACACTGTTGTGGAAAAAAAATGGCTCATTTCACTCTACTTATAGCCAAATGGTTATTTTGTCTGCTCGATGTCCTGACCTCATATTCCAAGACACGAAGTTCTCCGTAGCCTTCTCTGGTCTTGAAACTTCCCCTATTTTTCGCCTGGAAATCATTATAAGTGGCGTTATCTTACAATGTCTGGGGTCAGTCCCTGTCTCTCTCAGTCTCCACATCAGCTGGTCTCGTCTTGCCCAGACCACAAAATAAGCTATTTAACTGTCCCTGTGTAATAAATCTCTTCTTACCACCTGGGAAATACTTTTTATAAAAAAATTTTCTCTATTAAAGATATTTTACCTCCTAGTCTAGTTGTCTGTACCCTCACATTAACCTGAAATAATACAGTGTGTGTGTGTTTATAAATATATATGTGTATATATATATAAAATAACTTCTTTGATTTTCAATTTTCCAGAATACTTCTTGTGAAATGTTACTATTAGGATTTTTTGTTTTAAAGATTCTCTGACTACAGACATTTGGATTCTGAAACTTTGGTCCCTGACAAACCAATTTGAGTACTCAATGCCTGATTGCATAACTCATCACGGCCCCTGTTTATTTCTCCCTTTTCAACCTCAGAAGAGTAACACTTTCTTCGCACGTGGCTGAAGGTACAGCTGCTGCCAAGGGCGCGCCCTAATTTGTTCACACTTTCTGAATTCACATGTAATCTTCTAATCAGTATCTTAAGACACTTTTTACCCTTCTTTAATTTTTCCCTGATTTTATCTGATGAGCGGCTCTTGATGGCAGCCTGCACATTATAATCTCAAAACATATTTTTGAGTCAATGGATTTAAAGCATAATTTGATTTTATAGTTGGTGAACGTGGCTCAATTAACTTCACCAGGTGTATAGTTAGTTGATCTTGGGCTATATTTATAAGCTTATTGAAATTCAAGTAAGAAAACAGAGAAAACTGATTGGCTACCTCTTGTGACTTAGCAAACAGTCTTCAGGGATTACGACCCAAGTGTAGAAATTTCTGGTGTGGTACTAAGAAGTACAGATGACAGTTCAAACTCTGAAGTTCAGTGGAGTGGCTCAGTGCTCCTCAGTTGCATACTTGAAATTATCATCTTACTCAGAACACTCGCTCAAAGTGTTTCAAGACCAGGTTTTTGTGGTCCTGGATTCAGCTAGAAAATTATGCTATAATGCCCCATGATATTCTTGTACATAATGAATTAACTAGAAATACACAATTAATATACCTTCCAATTCTTTTCTTGTTTTCCTCCATTTTTTGATTTGCCACATTTAGTAGGAAGTCGATATATTCCTCTGTCACCATCAGCTGTCCTTTGTGGCTTAATGGAACTTCTAAGCCGTGTGTACTCCGGACAGCCTACAGGGAAAAAACAATTTAGATACAAAGACTTATGTAGCGGCCACTGAAGATAAGACAGGAAAAGTCCCAGTCGGGGTATGTTTGAACATGGCTTAGTTCCATTTCAGTGTTTCAGTCTGTGTTTTTATATAATTGAGCTGGACACAGTAGAATCAAAGGAGATTAAATAGATTTTCCCAACATATACTGTCAGTTCTAAAGAAAGGCCTTCTACACATTGTTTTTCAGAGAAGCAGATAATATCAAACAAACCAATAACTTTTAACAAGTTCAATCTCGCTATAGCTTAGAGAGCTTTATACACAGTTTAAAGAAAAGAAGTGAGTGAAACCTCCACAGAAACCTCAAGGGAAAGTCAAAAGGGGCTGGATGCAAAGAGTCTTAGTGCCGCCTGAGCCAAGTTCAGTCCTGGGAGTGAGCCACCCAGGACCTGCCACACAGCCACATGCGATGGCTGCTTCTCCACACTTCAGGGGTGACAATCTTAGCAACCCTGTTGATGAAACTGTCAACATGTCCCGAGTAGATCCGAACACTGGACAGAGGTTAAGAACAAGTAAGATGCTACAGAAACCATTATGAAGAATGAAAATTCATTCAATAAACCTTCACTGAGCATCTGCAATGCTTCAGGCCCCCGTGAGGAACAAACACACAGAACGAATATACATAACACGGTCGGGTCCTTAACTTTAGGAGCTCACACATTAGAACAGGAAATA